CCCCTTTGACCAGCAGAACTGCACTCTCAAGTTCCGCTCTTGGACCTACGACCACACAGAAGTAGATCTTATCCTCACCAGTGATTTCGCCAGCCGTGACGACTTTACCCCGAGTGGAGAGTGGGACATCGTCTCGCTCCCAGCACGCAAAAACGAGGACCCCAACGACATAACCTATCTGGACATCACCTATGATTTTGTCATCAAGAGGAAGCCTCTTTTCTATACCATCAATCTGATTATCCCCTGTGTGCTGATCACATCACTAGCTATCCTGGTGTTCTACCTGCCGTCAGACTGTGGGGAGAAAATGACGCTTTGCATCTCAGTGCTGCTGGCACTCACTGTGTTCCTGCTGCTCATATCAAAGATAGTGCCACCTACCTCTCTAGCAGTGCCACTCATAGGTTAGTCATATCCATATTTGTCTATTTGCAACAGTTTGTAGCCTAGGGCAATGAATATTTGGGTTTTTACTATATGTACAGACACTTTATATAAATATAATAGTTTAGTGATGTGTGTAAGAAAACATAAAACAAGAAAAAAGTAGTTTTTCAATTAAGGATTAATGCCATTTATTTACAACTGAAAGAGCTACACCACATTTGAAATAGTCTTATATAAATGATGGGTCTTCACATTTAATTTCTCATATATGATTTGTAAATGTGCTTTATGACAGGTCAGTCCTTTTTCTGCTTGCCCTTCACCTAATTTTTTATTATCCTGTTTACAACCTCAGCACAAGGAAATTAAAAAAAAGGTGATAAATATTATAACTGCCTGAAGAGGCAGCTGCTCAGATTATGGACAGTTTCACTCCGGTGAGCACGAAGACTCACCGGATAATAAATGTTTAAGTTCAACCCATTAAATTACTAGTGTTATACATGTACCTACACTTAACATTAATATACTGCTTTTGGAGATTTCAGTAGGAACACTAATGGAACAGAAACCAAACAGCTGAAAGTAATGAAATATACTTCATTCTAGTACTACGCCATTCAAAAAAATGAAGGAAATGCTTAATTATAATAGTATAACACGATGTGGGAAGCACACCCCAGTGTCATGCAAATGTATTTCACCTGCTTTGGTGCAAATGAAAGTGAAAGCTATCACCACTCTTTGTTTTAAATAATATCTACTTTTATAACCATTTTAAAATTGTAGTTTTTTACTTAGCATTACATTATTTTATTTTATTTGTTTTCAATGACTGAACTGATCAAACCTTACTATTTTTAAATTGGTTTTATTATTCTATTTTCTCTTTTTCTTAAATTATATTTGATGAACTTTTATTCTAGCTATAAACCATTTTAATTTCTAATATATTCTTTCATCATTTTTAATTTAACATTGGTTAGTATTGCATATTAACACCTTCCAGTTTGCCTTTTAAAACAGTCTTTATTAAAAACGTGTTAGAGATGCTGCTGGTTGTTATTTGAGACCCAGCTATTATTTGATTATTGAATAACACATGACTGAAGACTGAATGCACTATGATTAAAGGCAGAAGTAGTGTTGGTAAATGACAACATCTGATCATTTCTCC